ATGCGTTCACTTGGCAGGTGCTGGTGCGTGAGGCCGCGCAGTGGCCGATAGTCTTTCTGATATCCTCCGTGAGTGGGCGCTGGGCTGGCAAGTACTGGTAGCCAAGACTTGGGCCATGCGGACTGTGGGTGTACGGACTTGCAGAATACGGAAGACGGAAGCCGAAGGGGGCAGGCAGGGTCCCGGCGAATCACGCTGGGCATTGATGGTGAATTGAACAGTCCCATCTTCTAGGCTGAAGAGAGATTGGGCTTTCGAAGGACATCCCTGGCTTCCAATTTACATAGCCTCAGGCGATTTTTTCTCGTAGCCAGACCCCACGGCAGCAGTTCAGATGTGGCAAGTCGGACATGGCACTGTCAGGCAGCATAGCGAAGGACGATCTTGCTGTGGTGGGCTGTTGTTGCTTGTTCCCGGCGAATAACGCTGGGTTCTCTGAGCTCGACGACCCCGCTGTCTTTGCCAATGAGCCGAAAAGACTGGTCCTATTCAGGGGGCATTGAGCGCCGTGCCATGATAGACAGGGGTGAGGCAATGCATCACTCCCTGAAGCCGGACAGCCTTTGGCCTAAGCTCAGCGCCCCACGCATCCACGTCGAAGAGCTGGAAAGCAACGCAAACTGTAGCACGAAGCTTTGGCATTGGTTGGCCCTGACTGCACGTGGTAGCAAAGCCCAGAAGCAGTCAACGTGCGTTTTTCTCCAGATGGCTAGCACGGTGAAGAGCCCAGAGTGGCCAACTGCTTGAGAGAATGAAATGGGTAGTTGCCTGCTCAAAACAGCACGCTGAGGTTTCGTACTACTACGCGCGCGCGGCTCCAAGGGCCGTGCCTTGGCGCAACGATTGATTCATGCCGGTCTCGGCTCTGCATCTCTGCATCGTGTGTGAGGCGCCAGCCGTCGTGACGACGCCAGTGATACAGTGCCTGCCTCGGGAAGTGTCGCGGAGTGGACTGTCACTGTCTGCCTTCTTTGGGAGAGGTCTTGCAGCTTCTCTTTGTTTTGGTGTGTGTGTGTGTGAGAGAGAGAGGGTTGAGCGAGGATCTACGTCGTGCCACGAGCCGTGGTGGCGGCGACACCGCCGGCGGGCCACCAGGCTGACCGGGCTGGCGTTTGAGCTGCCGATTCCAGCGGAAATGAAATCTTAAATCCTGTTCGTGCATCTTGCTCAGTCCTTCTGGCACAATTTTCCCGTCAAGGCTGTGCGTACCCCAGAGAGTGTGCAAGTGTGCTTGGCGCTACGGCGCTGCTGTGCGGACATGCAGTGTGACGGTTAGCCGTCCACCATACTATCATCGAGCTGAGCGCTGAAGTCTGAGGCCAATGTGCCCTTGACACGACCCGTGGCTGCCGCCACCAGGCTCGCAGCTCACCATTGTGGAGTTCTTCGGCTATCACCTGCACTGGGGTGCAAGCACGACTTTTGTCATGCTTTCGCTTTGGATGTGTGCTGTCATGACATTGCCTGGGCGCTACCCATCACTCCAAAGCTGTGCCAGATTCCGACGATGGTTCCGTACTAGTAGCCGTCACTCGAAAGCTCTGCCAGATGCGTTTGGCTTTGAAGCAGGTCGTTGGCGCCTGGCCCATCCAAAATGGACCGCCCTGTCACTGTCTGCCGTCCTTTGCGTTGCCTGCTTCAATCTGCTTCCCCAGTGTGTTCCTCAGGAGCACATGCAGGCCTCCGTGGCCAGAAACTGAGACGATCGGTGAGTGCCAGTCCTCCAATATCACGGCTTTCCGTTTTCCCATCCTTTTCGATGTCGAGGTGCAGACGACGGCGAACACCGTCGTCTCTGCACCCAGGCCCGGCTCGGTCTTGGTGCAACTTGCGGTGTGTGAGCGGCTTTGACATTCCCTGTGTTGGAAATCCCTGGATGCCAGATGCCTTCAGTGCCTTCAGTGCCTGTAGTGCCTTAGAGCTTGAAGCAGGCGCTTTGTCCCTGGCCTGCCAACAAAGGACGGCTCTGTAACGGCTGACGGGATCTGTTCGTTTCCGGTTTTGATCTGCTTGCCGACTGAGCTCCTTGTTTTGGGGCGCCACAAGCAAGCGTGTGAGGAGTCCTTGCAAGGCTCGCTTGCCAGGAACTGAGAAGCAGTGCCGGTCTTCCTCGGCTGCGCTGACGCGTTTGTCGCGACTTTCCTGTTTCAGCCTCCGCGATGTCGAGGTGCAGACTGTGACGAAGACCGTCGTCTCTGCACCCAGGCCTGGCCTGACACCATGATCTGCATTGCAGCGGCTGAAACGAAAGATGTCGGCGACACACGGACGGACGGGGCAGACAAGGATTGGGAGATCTGAAATTACGAGACCAATTGAACGAGATCGGAATGAATGGGGTAGAAGATGGCACATATGGCACGAACAAGCTGAGAGGCACATTCAGGGTCTGCGCTGTGCACGCTCGACACTTGCAAGCGCGGTGAAGGGCTCCAAGAGATTTTTGGAGCTGGCTCCATTCTTCAACCCTTCTCTCAGCTCACTTACGGCCTTCGTCAATGAATGGTTGTCGTTTCGTTGCTCGACTCTTGCGGGCCCAGCAAAACCGAGCAGCAGGCCTGCGACTGGCGCCGGACTCGTGGGGCCGAACCTCGAAGTGCCCCTGAGCCAGGAGGGTCGGGGGCAGCCTCTGTTTGAATTCTTGACGTCGCCTCCATATTGGGTTTCCTCCAGGGGGTGGAGAAGCTCTCGCCTCTGGAGGCGCAACCCGGAGACTGCGTGTCGTGTCACGTCGCGTGGCATCTTTCCTCCGTGCAGGTGGACGAACTCCTCCGTGCAGGGCAGCCTCCGCCTCAGGACCGGGCCACAGGCCGGTGAAAAGTTGGCAAACGTCGCGGATGCGAAGATTGCTTTGAAACACTGAGGTGCTTGGTCGTGGACGTGCGGGCGGCAGACCGGGCCTCTGGCCACATCAAGGCATTTCAGCGGATCTGTGGTTCGGCGCGTCCCGCCTCTCTCCATCGCTGCAGGGGTCGGTGCACGAACCCACCAGCTTTCAGGCTCCCCTTTTGAATCGGGCGGGGACGCCAAGAGAGGGAGTGGGTGCTTCGACTGGAAGTCGCGTTGGACCGCTCGTGACCTCGTGTGAGGTGCCGGAGCTGGTGGCGAAGTTCTCGAAGGAGAAGTTGGTCGCCGGCAGCTCGGGGTCGGTGCTCCACGCACGTGACTGCACCGCTTAGATTCCATGTGCAAAGCTGCTGAGATCTTCCACTGCCAGTACTCCATGCACCGCGGCCCCCAGCGGGATGCCAAGTCTACTGTCATGGGCCATTTGTGGAAGGCAACTGATCGAAGGTCATTGAGCTTCGTTTATCACGCTTCTTCGGTGGATATGCTCTCCCGTGGGTCGAGGTGAGTTTCAGGATAGCCGATCTTAGACAGCACGGCAGGTGTGCAAACTGGTATCGCCAGCAGGCGCCGACTTCGCAGCGGGGGCCCTGTTTCCCTTGAGTTACATCCGACTCTCCCAGATGGCACTAGACAGCTTCTGTCTGCTTCCTTTTTGCGCAGCCTGTTTCTGTGCAAGTGTTTATGTTTTTGCAGAGACAGCAAACAGTAAACACAGTGCCACCAACGGTATGTGTGCGACCTTTTGTGCGAACATGTTCGACATGACGCTGGTCGTGTTACTGAAGCCGTATGGTTTCGAAACAATGGGTGTGCATGCCTTGTGCAGGGCCGTATCGTCGCATCGGCATTAATTAGTACACCACTGTAACCCTCGGCGTCTTTTGTCCTCGGAGTCCTCAACCTGAATCGAGTAGCTGTTCACGCGAAGGCGAGTGGCCGTGATGGAGGGTGGCTTCCGCGGCTGGGAACGCCAGCGATTGCCGGCAGGGAGCCTCAGCCTTCGTGAAGGGAAGGATGCAGTGCTGCGTCAGAGAGTTTGTGCAGCTGGAATGTCGCAGCTGTCGAGTGGTGAAGCTGGAGTCTTCATCGTTTTCTGTTGGCCCGAGCTTTCAATCTGCTCCGCGCGGGGCACGTATTGCCGGCCGACGGCAGGTCGTCCACGAGCAACCCATGGATGCCCAAGTGCAGGCTAGTTGCGTCTGTGTGCAACTACTAGTAGTTGCTGGGGCGGTTGCTGCTGTTGCCTCATGCCAGCGCAAACGCAGTTTGAGGCTTAAGGCTGTTGAAGGTGGAGTGGCATGTGTATCGTTGCAGTGCGATGTGCTTTGACATGTCCGGCCTCTTTCAGAGCTGGAGTGCCAGGCGAAGGCAGACGTCTATGCGCTCTCGATGGGAAGGCGTGTGGCAGGCAAGCCTGCTTGGGGGGGCCTCGTCCCGGGTCAATTGGACGACCTCTCTGAATCTCTCTGATGGGTTTGTATCTTCGCACTCTCAATGGGCAGACGTGTTGCTGGCAGGGGTTCTTGGACGGCTCCTGATTCATTTGCAGTGCCTCGATGTGTTTCTGCTCTGTTGGAAGGCGCTGGCGCGTGAGGCTGCAGCAGTCATGCGTTTTATAGGATGCTTCGAAGGCAGGCCATTAGCCTAGCTCCATGGACTTTGCACGCTTATTCTCTCGTAGCCAGAGCCGTGGCAGCAGTTCACAGATCTAGTGTAGCCAGTGGGACATAAGGTGCGGCTTTAACATTGGCAGTGTCAAGCAGCGTACCCAAGGACGAACTTGCTGCAGCTGGCTGTTGTTCGTTGTTCCTGGTGAAGAACGCCGGGTTGTCTGAACTCGACGAACCTGCTGCGTTGGCAAATGAGCCGAGAGGAGTGCTCTGAATGATGGTACTTAGCACACTACGTTGCACAGTCACCACCTACGACGGGGCAAACGGCACGAGGTCCCGTTGTGAGTTTCGCGATCCCTTGCGAATGTCGATTCAAGGAGGTTTGGACATTTGGCTTCTATCGGTTTTGGACATTGAGTTCTCATGCCCACTTAGTGCCTTTGGCTGCTTTTCCTAATTAATTGACAAGTTTGGCGAGCTCTGTGACCGACTTGAACTCGGCGGTACACCGTTGTGAAGCCCGCCGCAGCCACCGAGATGGCCAGCCACGTGAAAATCTCAGTGCGGCCCATTGCGCTGAACGGATGCCTGCTGGACTGCAGCTTGTTCAAAAGAAGCGAGCTAACTGAGCTGAGGTTTCGTACTACTACGTGGCCACGGCGCCGAGGGCCGTGCCTTGGTGCAAAGGATGGTTCATGATGACTCATCATCGGGCCCTCTTTCCTGCCGGGCGGGGAAGAGCCTTGCCAGCGTCTCGGCCTCCTCTTTCAGCCTCTTCTCCGTCGTGTGTGAGGTGCCAGCCGCCGTGACCATGCCGGTGAGGCAGTGCTTGCCTCGGGCCACTTAGGTCCGGGCAGAATTCTGGCGGAGCGGACGGGCTGCCGTCGCAGTTTTTGTGCGGGACGGTTGAGCAAGGATCTACATCATGCCACGCGCTTCTGTGCCCACGACGGCTGGCTTCTAAGCTGCTGCTTCCAACGAGCCTTATTGACAGCGGAATGTTGAAGCCTGTCCGTGCGTCTTGCTCAGTCCTTTTGGCCCAATTTTCCCGTCAAGGCTGTGAGTACCCCAGAGAACCTGTGCAAGTGTGCTGGCAGTACAGTGCCGCTGGATGCTGCTGTGCAGACATGCAGTGTGACGGTTAGGTGCCCACGAGCTGAGCTGTAAATCTGAGGCCACTTTGCCCTCGGCGCGACCGGTGGCCCCTGCCACCAGGCTCGCTGCTCACCCTTGCGACAGAGTTCTGCTGCAAACTCCCGGCTGAGGGATGACCTGCACGAGTAGGTTGCACGCCCGACTTTCGCGTTAGCCATGACGTTGTCAGCTCTGCCAGATGCGTTTGACTTTGAAGCAGGTCGTTGGCGCCTGGCCCAGCGAAGATGGACCGCCCTGTCTGCAGCCTGCATTGCATGCTTCGATCTGCTTCCCGAGTGTCTTCCTCAGGAGCACATGCAGGTCCCCGTGGTCAGGAACTGAGAAAATCCGGCCACTGAAGTTTGAAGGAGACAGCGCCGGTCCTCCTCGGCCGCGCTAACCTATCCTCTGCGATGTCGAGGTGCAGACGACGACGAAGACCGTCGTCTCTGCGCCCAGGCCTGGCTCGGTCTCCATGCATCTTGCGGCGTTGGTCGCCTGCACATCTGTGACTCGATAACCTTCGCAGCCCGATGCCTTAATCTGCCTTCGAAGTCGAAGCAGGAGCTTTGTCCCCGGGCCACCGGCACAGGACTGCGCAACGCCGGTTGAGGGGATCCGTTCGTTTTCGCATGCTTCCATCCGCTTTGTAGTTGAGTTGCTTTTCCTTGATGCCAGAAGCCAGCCTGTCAGGCGCGTGCGCACACCTCCTCCGTGGCCAGGATCTGAGAAGATCGGGGTCCTCCTCGGCTGCGCCGATGTGTTGTCACGGCTTTCCTTTTGCAGTCTGCGCGATGTCGAGGTGCAGACCGCGACGAAGACCATCGTGTCTGCACCGAGGCCCGGCTCAAACGACACAATCTACAACCTCCATCCATCCTCGTGTGTAGCCTTCCATTGCAGTCGGTGCAATAAAAGGCTGCTGAGGTCTGCGAAACAGACCACATAACGAATATTCCGTCGATTGTGTTCACTGAGTTCAAGAGGATCAGAGGCAACAACGTACAAGCAACCTGAGAGCCACATTCAGGGTTTGTGCGGATTATTTGAACTCCAACGTCTCAGCTCTGTGGAGTTTTGCCAGCGACAAGATTTTGATTTCTGTGCCAGATGCGGCTCCAGCTTGCTGAGCACAAATCACCACGGACAGAGCCGACCTGTGCACAGGCCAGCTCCCACCGATTTGGTGGGTCCGAATTTCGAGGTGCCCCTGCAGAAGGACGGCCACGCCCAGTCTGCAACATCTGATCGAAACATAGTCTTGATGTGGCCTATATTAGATGTCTCTGGAAGGGGGTCGAGAAGCTCTCGCCTGGAGAGGCACAGCTGGAGAGCTACTCGTACTAGGATAGTACACAGGACGACTGACAGGAGCGATGGCCGTGTTGATTCTGTCACTTCGCATGGAATTTTGCCTTGAGGTGTGTGAACTCCTCCAGAAAGGACAGCCTGTCTGTCAGGACCCAACGGGTGCAAATGCCACAAGGACTCAAAAAGAACACCGAGGTGCTGCCTCATCGACGTGCGCGGGGATGATCGTGCCTCTGGCTACAATGTAGCCAGAGGCACGATCATCCCCGCGCACGTCGATGATGCAGCACCTCGGTGTTCTTTGACATTCAGGCCAGAACAGCACGCTTCGCGGAGTTTGTTTCGCACTGGGCGTCTGGAGAGAGTGAGTGTGTCTCGTCCCTCGATGGCTCCAGGGCTCGGTGCACGAGCCCACCAGTTTCCAAGCACCCCTTTTGAACCGGGCGGGGCCGCCAAGAGAGGGAGTGAGTGTGGACTGCTCCTGACCGATCTTACTTGTGGAGTGGGATGTGCGTGAGGTGCCGGAGCTGGTGCAGAAGTTCGCCAATGAGAAGCTGGTGGCCAGCAGCTCAGTGTCCTGTTGGCCGCATGTGGAGGCACGTCTGTCAGTGACTGCGTCCACTCAGAATCCATGTGCAATACGGCTGAGATCTTCCATTGCCAGTACTCGCTGCACCGTGGCCCGCAGTGGGATGCCAAGTCTGCTGCGGGGGACCGGGGCCTTCGAATTTTGTGGAACTGGTTCTTGAGGGCTATCGAAGGGACTGAAGGTTACAGCCGATCTTGGAAGACTCCGGGTGTGCGAACTGGTACCGCCAGCAGGCACCTCCGACGCAGCTGGGGCCCTGGTCCCCGGATGAATTTCGCAGCTGTACTTCCCTCCACATGTCATGTCTTGTGGTGCTGGCTTCCTGCAGGTGTGTTTTCGTTGAACATGCCTGTGCAAGCTGCAGAGTTGCATGTGGTGACTGGCATGGTGTAGCTGTGCAGCTGCACGCTGTGTCTCTGCGAGTTCTGATTTTGCAAAATGATACGGTGCATCCGAAATGCGCGGTCAACACTTAATTTGTGCCAGGCCCTTTCTCCAACGAGTGTGTCACACTCATCGTGTGTGTTACGAAACTAGGAAAGGTAAGTTGGCGGAACGTTGCAGGCTCTTTGACTGACACCATGAGCGTAGTTCAGCACGGTCCCAGAGTCCTCAAGCTGCAGATCCGACAGTGCGCGCTGCGCCTTTTCGGATTGCGCTTCCGGACATGAAGAGAGACTGCATGGTCGTGGTTGAGGAAAGAAGGAAGCATTTTGCCCGGCGCAGCATCGTATCGTACGATTACCTTCTCGCGCCGACGGAGTCCTCGCTGCTCACGGGAAGGCGCGTGGCCGTCCTCGAGGGAGGCTTCCGCGGCTGGGAAGGACAGCGTCTTCCGGCAGGGAGCCTCAGCTTTCGTGGATGGAAGGATGCAGTGCTGCTTCAGGGAGGTCGCAGTAGGCGTCGCAGCATGTTGCAGAAAGCTGAAGCTTAAGGCTTGAGGGTTTCTTGATTTCTGTCGGCCCGAGTTTTGCAGGGTGGTCTGCACAGAGTCGGACATGTGGACCTGTGCGCTGGCCAACCGCAGGTCGTCCGCGAGAAACTCATGGATGCCTATGGGCAGGCTGGGTACCCATCTGCAACTAGTCGCTGTTTTCGCATGCCAGCACAAACACAGTTGAAGGATGTTGAAGACTTGAGGATGTTGAAGCTGGAGTGGCATGCGCATGCATGCGCATTGCTGCAGTGCGATGCTCTTTGGCATGTCCGGCCTGTTTTGGAAGCCAGACGGCCAGGCGAAGGCAGACGTGTACGCGCTCTCGATGGGCAGGCGTGTGGCAGGCAAGGCTGCTTGGAGGAGGGTCTCGAGTCGGTTCAATTCAACGACCTTTGATGGGCTGGCTGTGCTTTGCCGAAGGTGCTGGAGCGTGAGGCTGCGTTCTATCAGAATATCAGATCCTGATATTCTGATAGAACGCAGCCTCACGTAGGCGGTCCAGTGTTGGCCAGTGCTGGTTGCTGAGACGTGGCAAAGCGGACGTTATGCTTTGTTCAAGCAGAAAGCAGTAGACTCGACGGAGAAACGTGTTTGCCGAAGTGGGCCCGCAGAGATGCGGCTGCAGTGCCCAGCGAATCGATTTTTTTCGCTAGCCAGAACTCTTGGCAGCAGTTTAGATGTGGCAAGTCGGACATGAGGTGTAGCTTTGACATAGGCAGTGTCGAGCAACATACCGAAGGGCGATCTTGCTGCGGTGGGCTGTTGTTGATTGTTCCCGGCGAATAACGCTGGGTTCTCTGAGCTCGACGAACCCGCTGTCCTTGCCAACGAGCCGAAAAAACTAGTCCTGTTCAGGGAGCATTGAGCGCCGTGCCATGATAGACAGGGGTGAGGCAATGCATTTCGTGAGTGGAAGCCATGACTCCCTGAAGCCGGAAAGCCTTTGGCCTAAGCTCAGCGCCCCACGCATCCACGTGGAAGAGCTGGAAAGCAACGCAAACTGTAGCACGAAGCTTTGGCAGACTGTACGTGGTAGCAAAGCCCAGAAGCAGTCAACGTGCGTTTTTCTCCAGATGGCTAGCACGGTGAAGAGCCCAGAGTGGCCAACTGCTTGAGAGAATGAAATGGGTAGTTGCCTGCTCAAAACAGCACGCTGAGGTTTCGTACTACTACGCGCGCGCGGCTCCAAGGGCCGTGCCTTGGCGCAACGATTGATTCATGCCGGTCTCGGCTCTGCATCTCTGCATCGTGTGTGAGGCGCCAGCCGTCGTGACGACGCCAGTGATACAGTGCCTGCCTCGGGAAGTGTCGCGGAGTGGACTGTCACTGTCTGCCTTCTTTGGGAGAGGTCTTGCAGCTTCTGCTTGTTTTGGTGTGTGTGTGTGAGAGAGAGAGAGAGAGAGAGAGAGAGAGAGAGAGAGAGAGACAACACAGACAGGTCAGGGCATGCACAGCAAGAGGGGAACTGTTGCTTGAGTGGTTCGAAGAACAGGGGTGTCATTTTCCAGAACAGCAGTTGCACGAGCCGAGTCACTACCCCTACGACTCGACTACGTGCTGGCAAAGAAACTACTGTGCGACCCCGGCAAAGTTCTTGCTCAGAGGGATATTGCCACTTCAGACCATGAGCCGATCTCCGTCCCGTTGACCCAGATCCGAGTCCACGAAGGCAACATCGGGGGGAAGGCAGCACCATGGTCCTCTCGGACACTGCGACCTGGGGCTGTGGTCGATGCTATCTTGGACCAGCAGGCTGTAACCGGGGGCGACCCCGTCACCCAAATCCAGAAAGTCGCTGTGGCCATCAGCAAGCCCGGCAAGAACAAACAACCATTCAAAGAGTCAGATGCCCTTCGAGCCCTTCGCCGACATGCCCTTCACACCGGGCCAGGGGAAGAACGGCGACGACTCTGGAAAGCAGCGCGGATCATGCACCAATCCGAGCATCGAAAATGGCAACAACTGGCGATGCAACGTGTTGCCGAACTGGACTGGGGGATGAAGAAGGCCCTCGTGGAGCAGAGCCGTGATCACTCCTGGGAGCTCAACCTCACCGACAGCGACCAGTGGAAGCAAGAGCTCCGGGACCACTTCGAAAAGATCTTCCACCGACAAAAACAAGTGGTAGTCACTGCGAAAATCCGGGGGATCATGAAAAAGCTCGAGTACAGATGCAAGAACACGAAATGGATACCCTTCACCTTGGAAGACCTCAATGAAGTCAAAGTGAAGTGGAAAAATGGGCGATCTTGTGGACCCGACCAGGTGTCACATGAAGCCCTCAAGGCCATGCTCCCCCACCCGATTTGGGGGAACCGCCTACTCGCATTGTTCAATGACATGCTGTACACATGCCGCCTGGTCGAGAGCATCGAAGCAGGAGCCACTATCCTGTTGGCGAAAACCTCCCAGCCACAGAACTGGGGAGAAACAAGACCTATAACTTTGAGTTCAGTCCTCCTCAAGACTTTCGGCCAACTCCTCTTGCAACGA